GCTAGTTATTAAGCACTGTGGCCTTTCACAAGAGTGCTTGTGATGCCGTCTAATAAAATACTCCCTGACAGCTTCTAGTCACCATTTCGTATTTTCTGTTTTGATTTCATCTGGGTGGCATTCACTGTTTTTAAACCACCCAGTACACACATTTCCAGCAGGATCCTCTTCCTGCATGGACATCAGTGTAATTAAGTCAGGGATACCTGGATTTAAGCAGGTGCTAGTTTTTAATTCTGTAACTGCTGCTTTTTTTTTTTTTTTTTTTCTTTTTTGTCAATGCAGAATTCCCCATGCTGGATGTCAGACTTCTAGAGCTATGAAGCTGCCCCCAGTAAAACTCCCAGGTTCAGGGTAGACTGAGCATCAGTAGTGTGAGATTTTCAGTGCGCAGAGCTGAAACCAGAGACACTCCACATCAGACACTTCTGTTTCTGTTTATTTATTAAACGGTTGCATGTCCTATTTTCTAGTCAGATGTGCTGACAGGCAGAGCATACCAGCTAATGTTTGATATTATCCCATGCTGTTCCTATGCCAACCCATAACCATTCAGAACTGTGTCTTTCCAAGTCAAACCCAGTGCCATTTTGACCTGGAGTACAACTGCTCTTCTGCTTAGCTACCTGTTTTTTTTCTAAATAGGTTATACTCAGTGATTCTTAAAATCAGTCATGTGGATGTTCACATCAGGTTTCAGTCAAACCAACTAGGTCAAATCTCTGCTCTTAGCTGAGCAGCTCTAATTCTTGTTGGTCAGCCCAGCCTCCTTTTGGGTGTGTCTTCACATCTCCTCTCTTTTCATGCTTTATCTTGAGTTGTTTCCTTCTCATTCTCTTGGTTTTACTGCAAGCAAACAGTCATTTCCCTTCTTTTTCTACCCATTTTTTTTCTCTTTTTTTTTTTTGACTAACAGAAAAGACTTGCTTGTCCTCATTTTGCTGATTTTTGATCCAGATGTGAAGCTGGGAGCTGCCTTCCATGGACAAACCCAGCTCTTCCTTGGAAAGCCTGAGCAGGGCGTGCGCTTTGTATTTTTGTGTTCCTTTTATCTACTACAATGCAGTAATTAGATCAGTTGCCCAGTGAGCAGGGACCCATTTCCATTGGCACCAGGCAGAGGGAGGGATGCAATCCATGTTTCCCAGTTGCACAGGAGGGGTGCAGCTCACGAAAGATTTACTCAGACCACAAATGCCAAGCCCCTGTGGATGTGAGCGCTGCCAGGGTTTGGTGGCAGCTGAGCAGATGGATGTGGCTGGTGTGTCCAAGGGGGAGATGTGGAATTTAGAAGAAAACCAATAAATCAGGAGAAAACCAACGCACATGCTCTCTCTTGAACTTTTCCACACAAGTCAACAAGACTTGATTTACCAGCCGCACATGTAGATTTTGTGTAATATCGTTATTGCTTGATTTTATAGCAGAGACATTAACGGGGTTGGCATTTACCTTGCAATGGTTATTGCTCCCATGTTAGCACCTTGTGTGAAAAAGGGCCTGTTGACATCTCTTGGGAGGCTGGCTCCAAGCCTGGGTCTTGCCTGTAAAATTTAGTGGCACCGATGAACCTGCTTCAGTTAATTAGAGCAATTCCCTCCTACAGACCTTGACTTTACCTGGGAATTCCCAAATAAGAAGGCTGAACTGATTTACTGGAACGGAATTGTAAACCAGTGCTATGTCATTGCATTGCTTTCATCTTCCTGAAAGCTGCTGACATCTTTTCCCTGGTGATGCCGTGGCATCAAAAATTTGGTTTAGGACAAATCATGTTTTTTCTGAAATTAAATATTAACCAGCAAACAGTCTAACATTTGGTTTGGCTGTAAATAGGACTTTGTTTTTAAAGCCTTCCCAATTCTTGTAAGTTTAATGATAAGAACCATCATTTTTACAGAAGGGGAAAAAAGCAGGCATAAAAAATCCAAGGCGCTTGTGACTTTTTACACCCTGAGCTCGATTTTGTGGTGAATGGCTTTGACCCTTGGTTTTCCTTGTGCTGATCATGTTTCTGATCATCCCAGGCAGCTTTTCCCTCCCAGTACTTATCCATCTCCTCCCAGGGCATTGTACCAGCCCTAAATAGAAAGGCTGGTTTCATACCCATGTCTGTTCCTGAGCGGAACAAGGGAAGTTCTGGGCCTTTTTAATCAGGAGAATTATCTGATGGAGAGGCAGAGCTGGATATGGATTAATATCTCGGTGTGATTTTTAGCTCTGGGCTCCGTGGCAAGCAACCTGGCAGCTTCACCTCCTCTCTTTTATGGAGCTGAGGGTTTATTTTCGTGGGTGCCTTGGCTTTGTGCTGGAAAATGGAGAGAGTTTTAGAGAAAAAAAAAAAAAAGAAGAAGAAAGACACCTTTTTTCAATTTAAAAATAATGGAAAAAAGGAAGAAAACAGCATCTTCCCAGCTGCCCAACCATGCCAGTGACTGCAGGCAGGTGAATAGAGCTTCCTGCCTGCCCTTCTCGTGATAAAGCATTCATAGACAGAATATCTTTAATGAAAACCTTGACAGTATAATTGTTAATAAACTCAGTCACACGCGCTTGATATTCTTTATTTGTACAAATGTATTACTCTGTTGGTAACAGAGAGTGCTGCTGAGTTTGGACCCTGTGGAGATCTTTGACTCTGTATTGCCCAATATTTCTAATTCAGCAATTAGAGTGGTGTAAAATCAATACAGCCCCCATCAAACGGGGGAAATCATGCCTTATTAAGGCATTTCAATTTAATTGTTAATAAACAACCCAGTGGCACTTGGGGGGAACTCCTTTGGAACCTGTTAGCAGCTTGGTGCTAGTTAATATTAATCAGTGATAAAGGCTGTAAGGAAACAAGGGGCTGAGCTGCAGTTTGGGCTTGTGTAACAGCAAAAAAAAAAAGGGTTCCTAGATGGGTACAAGGCACAGAAATGTTGGAGCATCCTCGCAGAAGATGCAACGAGCGTGGGCCTGTGTCTGATTCCATATGACTGTTCTCATGTTCTTTCCCGAGGCATCTCTCCTGGATTGAGTTACTGTATTTGACAGACCAGATGATTTTTTTCTGGTCTTAAAATTTCACGGATACGTTCAACTGGTGCAAGTGAGAGACAGCCCAGCCTGTGGAGGGGAGGCTGAGGCATTTTGGGTAATTATAAAATAAATAAATGCAGTGATGATATATGTGTATGGAGTGAAACTGCTGCTGGGAGTGGGATGGAGGTGGTGACTGGCATTACTTTGCACCTGAAAAAGTGCATGGAGCTGGGAGGGAGCTCTGACCCAGGCTGGGAGAGCATTTCTAGAGCTGCTGGACCTGCCAGGCAGTGAGCACCCAACTGCCCTCCTCCCTCTTCTGTGCCAGGAATGACGCTTGGGGCAAAATTACAGCACCTGCTGTGTTGTTCTTCATGGGTTTTTGTGTTTTCAAGAGAGCCACAGACTCTGTTTTGGGTTGGAAACGTAGTGAGCTTTTCTCTGTGTTGTGTGATAGCTCCTTGATGGAGCACAGATCCAGAGGTGTGGCACTCCTCACGTTGATTTGCTGCGAAAATCCAGCTCAAAAATTTCACTCTTTATTTACAGAAAGGTGCTTGAACTAAATAGGCCAGAGTGCCAGTGCTACTGACATCAGCTGCAAAAATAGGCGGTAACTACTAATACACTGCTAAACACTTGCACTGGGAGGAGCTGCTGTAAATCATTCCCATTTTTCACTGAGTTGGGAAGTGAAACTGTGGTTGAGTGGGATTTCTGTGGTCAGAGCCAGTTCAGAGTCAGAATTCCTACTTGGTGGCAAATGGCAAACATTTTTTCACATCAAATGAGGAAAAAATATTTGGATTTTGAAATTTGCAATGGAATAGAATCATAGAATCACAGAGTGGTTTGGAATGAGAGGGACCTTACAGACCATCTTGTTCTTAATCCCTGCCATGGGCAGGGACAACTTCCACTAGGGCAGGTTGCTCCAAATCCTGTCCAACCTGGCCTTGAACAATTCCAGGAATGGGGCAACCACAGCTTCTCTGGGCAGAACAACCATTCTCTTATTCCAAACAGCAATTATTTAATTGACCATATATACATGAATTTTTCAAATAATGTTATTTCAGAGTTGTTTAATACACCATTAGTATAGTGTGTAATATAATACATAAATGCTGCTTTTAGAGGATTTAAATTTAAGGTGAGAAGAGGGTGAGAAGGGGCTAAGTGGCTCCCATCTCCACCAGCTACAGATGCTGTGTGTTTTATGGGGCAGCAGCTCTGCAGCCCTCAGCATGAGAAGGCAAACCCCAAATCTGGACCCAAGGGTGTCAGAACTAATGATGGAGGAGAAGCACTTGCCAACAACACTCATGTCAGGTCCCTGCTGCAGGGCCAGGAGCAGTTTGCTTTTTAGTCTGGAGCAGATCAGTCCCTCCCTTAGTGCTTTGCTTTATTATTATTGTGCAATTCCTCCTTCAGAGAAGTGGGTTTCAACCTGCAGCCGGAAAGTATTCCCAAAGTGCTATTTTACTATTTATTTTCATCCAACTTCCTATTACTGTGGCAACATGCACTTTGAATTTCATTAGTTTTATGCATTTAAGTTCCTTTTTTAAACCTTTATAAGGTCAGACCCTGCTTGGGTAAATCAACAATGTATTAAATTTGAGGTTCTGAGTAATACTTTTCCTTAAACAGCTGTAGATCACAGGTAAGTGAGGGCATTAGGGCTTCTGCTTTTTCGAGAAATATTTGTGGGCATTACTGATAAGCACATGCACCAAATTATTCTGTAATTAGATAAGCATCTTCCATCACAGATTCATTCTCGTGCACTTGTGGTCCATCAGCAGCACATTACAGGGTGCCTGCACTGAAACCACACAGGAGGAGGCTGTCATGTCATGCTCTGCAGCACAACAGCTCAAAGCTCTTGCAGCTGGAGCTGCTCCAGACCTCCTTGGGGTGGCCAGGAGCATCCCTCAGCACTGTGGGGTGCTGAGCATCCTACACAGGCCATGGGACTGCTGCTGGACCAGCAGTGGGTGCGATGCCAAGCTCAGGGTTGCTCCTTCTGGGTAGCTGTGGTTTCACAGGGAGGTTTCATTGTCCTGTCCTGGTGACCAGATTTCATCCCAGCTGTTTTTTGCCCAGCCAAGACTCACATCACCCAAATAGGGTTCAGCTGGGGGGCAGCCAGCCCACAAAAGTCCCTGTTGCCTGTGCTTCCCACTTCACTACTGATTACTAAAGCAGAGCCAATGCTCTCTCTCTCTCCTGATTTTCCACTTCTGTGTCCTCAGGCCCTTAGTTGCTTTCACCTGCAACTTGCATGGATCTGCTTGACAAATGAGAAAGTACAAGTAGTTCTCCTGCCTCGTCTGGGCTTCTGGAGGGGTTTTCCTTCAATAAATAGGGCTCTTTGCAGGCTTCTGGTTTCACAGCCACTCATGAAAGTAGGTTGTGAGAAGCTGGTTTAGCGCGCGTTGGCCGTGTCCCTGCAGAAAGGGCCCTGCAGGCTGCAAAGCAGAGTCACTGCTGCCTCTTCCAGTGAGTTTGTGCTGAAGTTTGTGCTGGAGAAGTGCTGGGAGCCCTGGCTGGCAGGAGGCTGAGCTTCCCAAACTTCTCACGCACAGTTTTATGTGCAACTTTCTGACTAAAGTTCAACTCGGAATACACCGAATAATTCAATTGCATCTCTGCCGCTGGGTTACATAAGAGAAAGCTGAAGTTGTGCCTCGTTTCGTAAGGTAAAGCATATCCTTCTGCTGATCTGAGCAATCTCCCTGGTTTGCAGGGGGGTTTCGCTGCACCTCCTTGCCTGAGCTGGGGCTTTTGGGGGAGAGAGGGTGCTGTAGCTGTTGTCTTTATTGACTGGCATCAGGTGAATGTGTGAAACCTGGGCTTATTTTGTGTGTTTCCATGGTGTTTCAGTGCACAGAGGAGACCGGAGCAGCTGGATCAGGCCGTGGGCCAGCGGTCAGCGTCCCCCTCCCTGGCACAGACTGCACCCAGCTCCCAGAGCCCCCGGGAGATGAGGGGCCGGGGCCAGCCCGGACCGGCGGCGGAGGGGCCGCGGAGGACACTGCAGGTGGACGCCAGGAGCCAGGGCCCGGGGAGGTCTCCCTCGGTGTCGCCGGACCGGGGCAGCACCCCTACCTCTCCCTACTCAGTCCCGCAGATCGCCCCCCTGCCCAGCAGCACCCTCTGCCCCATCTGCAAGACGACAGAGCTCACCTCCTCCCCCGGCCAGCCCAACTTCAACGCCTGCACCCAGTGTCACAGCAAAGTCTGCAACCAGTGTGGCTTCAACCCCAACCCGCACCTCACCCAGGTAACGCCTCCTCTTCCTCGCTCAGCCCTCCCGGCCGGCTCGGGTGGGTGCTGGGGTGGCTGCCACCGAGGTTCTTGTGTTCTCCAAGCACAGACGTTGCACCTTTGCTTTTGGCAGCTGCAAAGCACTGACCAAAAGCAAGGGCTGTGCTGGTAATCAGGGAATAATTGTGTTAACCTGAGCTTTGATGAGATGAGGGAGGTAAATCAGTTGGAGGGAACTGGTAGACCATGAGAGGGGTTCAGTCTCTGTTGCTGAGACCCCCGAACTCTTGTCTGAGGTCTGTGCTCTCAGAAGTGTCCGGAAGTCGAAGGACTTGACGGTGGGAGGGGAGGAGGGGGTTGCTGGCACCCCGAGGTGTTGAGCATCTCAAACCCTGACTCATCACAGGTGCTGATGGGCGAGTTTCAGGCAGTGTCACGCTCGGCGGCGGGAGGGAAGCGCCAGGAGTCGTGCGCAACATGATGCGGCGCTGGGGGAGCGTTTTGTGGGATGTGTGAAATGGAGGCTCGGGGTTCCGGGGCGGATCCGGCAGCGGCACCAAATGGGGGTGCTGGGACTGGCTGGGGTGAGGGGCTCCCTGTGCCAATCTGTCAGGTCAGAGACCTCCACATGGGGTGGGAAGTGACATGGATGGTTTTTGCAGCTGTTAAGAGCCAAACAATGGGGATTCCTACTCTCAGGCTTAATAACAGAAACTTAAAGCCACGCTTTGGTAAGCCACTGTGCTGGCCCAGTTTATGACGAGACAGGATTTGGGCACTGAAGTCCCCTGGATACCCAGGATTTATTGCCAGTAGCCATTTCTGGTAAACACATGATGCTTGCTCCTGACACCAGACACAATGGTTTGTAAATATCATTGTTTGAGAGAGAATCCAGCCTTCCAGTCCCTTTTTCCAATGGAATGAGAGTTGAGGTAGCTGATACTCCTGATACAGCAAGGTATAATTACCTGGGTCCTGCTTTTACCCTGCAGGTGTTTCCCCCTGCAAAGGTCAATATAAGGTCTCAGACGTTAATAAAGGGCTGTGAGGTAGAAATTCAGGCTCCTGCAAGGAAATGCCATGGGCCACTTTTTTGTTTCACTTTCAAGTTTCACTTTTAAATACATGTGCCAAACATTTATTTTGTTGTCCAAGCATTGCTTTGAAAGTTGACCAACTACTCTGAATAGTATCAGTTAACCAGCAAATAACCAAAGAGAAATGTACCAGTTGCTCAGTTTCTGGTCAGCCTGGGTCTTGTCTCCTCTCTCTTGCCCCAAGAGCTTTCCCATGGTGGTTCTACCCCACGTCTCTCCTACAGATACCCATGTTTAAATGTGTGTGTGTGTGGAGTTTCTGCTTAGAACTCTAGGCCATCTCTCTCTTGGCATCTCTAGGTTTCTGTGCCCTCTGAAATGTGATTGACTGCAGAGCATTTTTAAACATGAAATCAAAAAGTTGTACCTGAAATGGAAAAGGTGTGGAGTTTTTTTGTTTGTCCTGAGTTTAATATGCATTTCAGCAGCAGACAGCCTTATGATTTGTAAGTAGGTCGTTGTGGGAGCTGGGGGATGAAAACAGTTGTCCAAGAGAAGCACATTTGCAGCTCATGTTGGCAGCCCGTGTGATGGGCTGGCTGGGGGAGCAGCGGTGGTTGCTGCCTGGTTGGAAGTGTGACTCGCTTTCCTCAGCATCATTCCTTGTGCTGCTATTCCAGAGTCACACAGCGAGGTGTTTGAAGCAGCCTGGTGGTGTTACAGAGGAGTAATGGGAGGCAGCTTGGAGGGTGCTCTCTATCTTGATGGTGGGAGCTGGGTTGGAAAGGATCTTCAGAGTGTCCAACCTCTGCTCAAAGCAGCAATCAAGGAAGGATCTCTGGGCTGTACCCCTTTGAGTCTCAGAACCTTCCAAGGATGGATGTGCTGGTCCCACCTGCTCCATCACCTGACTGCCCTCACAGGGAAAACATCCACCCAGTCTGGTCCCTCCAATCCAGCAGGCACTGCTGGGTGGCTGCACAGCTTTGCTAATGAGGGGCTGTATTTTCCATTTGCATTTCCTTATGAATATATTTTCATGGGAATAGTTGATGTTGCCACTTTGTGCTGCAGTAGATACGGATTTGTAACTTTTTTCTGCTTTCAAGGCTCTCTAGCAGGATTATATCATCAAAAATACCTCATTTTCTAAGGAAACCAAACCCAAGAAAACCAAAATTTTGTTTTGCTTGGTACCTCCTCTCCTGTGCAATCTGTGGGGCTGCCAGAAACCATTGGCATGGTGAGGTGGGAGCTCCAGGGCTGGTTTGGCATGATTTCTGAAACCATTTTGTGAGGCTGGTTTTGAAGCTTATGTAAACACTTTCTTTTCACAAGTCTTTTATATATATATATGTGTGTGTGTATATATAAATGTATATATATTTTATACACATGCTATAAAATAGCTTTTTATAATATATATAAAAATAAAGTAACAGACAGTGTATGAGCTGTAGTCCCCCATGCTCCACCGTCCTACTTACAATTCCAAGAGCAGGTTTTTCAGAGGAGGGGTAGCTGTACCTCCTAGCAAAACACCTTCACTTCGTAATTAGGTGATACCTTCTGCTCAGAATCATGTGAACTCCTTTTAAAGACTATTTTTCTTTGCCTTTTGTGTTTTATCCCTTTTCAAGTGGCTTGATGGTCATTTTATCTTCAAGGCAAGTTATGAATTTCTGTGCTGACGAAGCAGTCGGCCTCCGTGGCACCTTGAGTTGATCGCTTGCCGAGAGGAACAAAATATCTCGTCGGGTTTTCTCTTCGCTGTCTGTTTATTCCTTTGAGCAGCAGCTCGTTCTTGTTTCACAAGACTGGGCAAACAGAAGTTCCTGTCTGCTGCTGGTGTCACTCAATATTTTACATGTAGATAATCGCATTCTTCCCTCTGTTCATCTCTGCGCGCCGAAATAACTGCTTGTCATCGTTTTCAATTTGGTCGCGTGCTGGCGGGCTGCTTTCCTCGTTCATTCACTTATTCCTGAAGGTCAGTGCTCTTGCCATAGACAGTTATTTTAAGCAAGGGGAATTATCAAGCAGGGAGCCATGGTGGCACCATTAAAGACAAGGAGTTATTTAATAACATGGTAAAACCGAGCAGTTTGCTTACACTCCTGTGCAGGAAATAGGTTTTTTGAATGGAGATGTGTTATTTTTAGTGCAACGCTGCAGCTATGACATTCTAGTAGGATTTTTAATTTCTCATTAAAACTTTTTTTCTACTTTTCCTCTGTGTTGTCTTCGAGGGGGTTTTTTGGACAGCTTGTTCTGCAGGACTGTACCGGTGATGCTGTCATCTCCTCTAGGGAGAACAGCTCAGTTTCAAACCAGTACAATGGGTTTAGAAAATCCTCTTTTTATACATCTTTTGCTTTGTTCCGCCGCTCCCGTGGCTTTCGCCTGACTGATCCTGCAGCATGTTCATCTGATTGGATTTGCTCTGTTTGGTATCATGAGGAGTAACCTGCAGGCATCCTTTCTGCCTCTCTGGGGTTTTGAAGTACCGCCGCACATTGCTAATTTGATAAATTAATTTCTTCTTCAGTCTTCTCTTAAAATTTGTTGGGCTGCTTTTAATTTGTTTTCTCCCCATCCTAAGTGCTAAACCAAAAACACGAGGAACTTGAGTTTGATTTTAATCAAGAGCAGTGGCACTGCATTAAAACATGTGCTTTAGTTAGAGCTGAAGTGAAACTCAAAATGCCTGGCTGCCTAATAGGTCTGCTTGAAACCATTTGGGATTATAGGAAATCTTTGCCTTCTGCCTTACGTTTCTATTGTGCTTTCTGAAGTAGTGTTTATTAGATGCAGTTTCATCAGTATTCAAATGCACCACCCTGAATAAAAGGAACATATTTGTACATGTCTGTTCTTGACCAAATGCCTTTCTTTTTGAAGTCCCTGCTTTTGTCCCCGGGCCATTTTGATTGTACTTGCTGTATTTGTGACCATATTTATGATTGAGAATTGTAAACTTCAGTTCTGGCTCGCTTTTTTAGCTCCACTTAGGGAGACTGAAGTGATTCTTTGTACTTTTCATGCCGTGAATATAATGAATTATGAAATATTTAAAATATTTGAGAATAAATCTGTTCCCTATGTGCTCTGTGCCATGTAAGCTCGTCACCAACCTTTGATCACAGACCTTCAGCAAGCAAAACATAAAAAGTCTCAGGGAGGATTAAAAACTGCTGGTTGGTTTCCCAACAGTGGTCAGGGTTGTTTGACAGGAGAAGAAAAATTCTCAGCAGCTCCTGAGTTATCTGTGGCAAGAGGAGATAGCCACAAAAATCGTTTGAAGTTTTTAGGTAAATGTTGAAATTGTATCAGTGGAAAATAGACCATCAGCTGAGGAGATGAGACTGAAATAGTGTAAGTATTGTGTAGGGCTGTGTTTATCCTGCCATAACCTAACAGTAGATGGTTTTCTGCTCAGTAGTGTGAGAAAATTTGGGTAAAGTGGAACAAAGAAGAAGAAGAGGAGGTAGGGGAAGCAGAGGGGTGACACAGCGCTCAGCAGAGCATCTCTGGTGGCAGGAGTGGGGCTTGTTGGCACTGGAGGGATGGCCATGGTCCAAAGCCTTCTCCAGCCTGGCTGTACCAGCAGGAGTGGTGCCTGCCCACAGCATCACCTCCAACCATTTAGCAAATGACTGAAAAAAACCCAAATATTGAAATTATGAAGCTGTTCATACACTGCTTTTCTTAAGAGCCCATTTCTCATTTGGTTCATTGTCCCAATTTTACACCACAACGGTGTCCAATTTTCAGCAAACCCCACCATTTTTGTGAATTAAGGACCTAATCTAAATTATTTACCCTTCAGGAGGCTTTGGCTTGGCTAGTGACCACTAGTTCAGTAGCACTGCAACCCAAGGGCTGTGCTCAGGGTGCCAGGGGTGTTATTAGTTCTGCATTAAACAAATGGCTGTTACTAATGAACAGTAAATCCTCATTTCTTCCTCTCTTCCAT